TCACTGCAATGTCATTTTCGGGATCTGAACGCAATTTTCTCAACAGTCCCACTGGGCAAGGTATTCTTGACAATTAGAAGCACCTCTGTAAACACCCTCCAACTGCCCAGGCCACACACTACGTGAATAAAAATCAGATTTTAGATTTGCCAGACTTAACATTCTGTACGTGCTGTACTAGCAGGTGCTGCTGTAGCTACTTGTATTTCAGACTGCAGAAGCAGAGCACGGATTGACCAACAGCCCAAATTATACTTGGGAAACTATCCCAGACCTCAAGGTTTCTGTTTAGCTTCTCTGAGCATTTATGAGTAAATAAATAAAAAAATTCACAAAGTAACACTACAAACTGGCAATTACAGAAAGTAAAAATAAAGATCTTAATTAAATCATTATGGTTAAAAGCTTAACGGTAAATTATCTTTATAAATCAGAGCTGTAAATACATCTTCAGTTATATGATACACATATGGACATGCATGTACAATCAACTCATTTTCCTTCTTTTCTGGTATATCTCAGTCTTGCCAAAAGTTTTTTTTTATGTTTCTGCAAGATTATGTTTTTAAGCAGGTTGCAGTGCGATAATTCAAGAAAACATTTAAGAAAACACCACCACTAAAAAATTCCCTACCCAATTGAGAAAAACATAAATTTTAAGCTGGAGACAGAATGCCAGAACTGGAGGCTACCGAAAAAGATCCTGGAGTTAAGAGGCACTGACACGTACTGTACATGTTAACCCAGAACTGAAAAGCCAAGTGTCATATTGAAGTGGTCTATCAGAGATATAAAGATTTCTGTAATGCAACAAGTTACACTTTAAGGTGCTGAAACTCAATATTAATATTTGGGCTGATTTTATCTTTGGACAGCAGACACATATGGCTGCAATACCGTAGCAACAGCAGCAAGCATGAGCCAGTTGCAAATAGTGGCTGAGTAACTACGAACATATCATTTGTCCAGATCTATATAGAAGCTCTAATCTAGCATAAAAATATTAATTGAGAAGCATATCAAGTTAGCCCTGTCAGCCCTAATATTTTCTGGTGATTGAACAGAGCCAGAGCATAAGATAAGCATCATTACAAACCCTGTTAGCTTAACTTCAAACCCAAAACCTTGCACAAAGAACAGGAGCCCACATAAAATCTGATTTTGAATGTCAATAGCTCCACAACCATCTCAGTTACAGGCAACATTCTCCATTCTAAAACCTGCGGCAAAGTTTTTGTAAGCCCTTTGTCCTTCCTTGAAGCAGCATTTAGCACCTGACTGTTCTGGGGAGCATTTTCACATTAGAACTATACATTAGGGACAATATATCAATATTTATGAAATTCTCTTCTTCTGTATTTAGTAAGTTTATGCTAACAAAGTATTTTCATTGGGATCGATCAGTTAAGTATTATTTCAGCTTGCTTAGCATAAGATATCTTTTCTCCCTATGCCAGTAAATATCCCCATTTATCAGTGTAGATTAACTTTGTTTGCTTAGCAGCTAAAACTTGAAGTGAACAGTGGTATTTTCAAAACAAATACATCAAGTTAAAATGCAGGCAGTTGTGGTTTATCTGAATCATATGGCTCCAGATTTGAAATCTAAACTAAGGAAACAGAGGTTGTGACACTCCACAGCTGGAAGAAGTGGTGTTCACAAAGCAGTGTTAAATCAAGGCCACTTGGCCGGTTCGGGCAGTTGCTTGTGTGGAAGTGACAGATCCCATGAGAGCATTAAAAAAGAGGAAGGTTTTGGTATTCAGGCCAACCCCCCTTCCCTTCACTGAACGATACCATGGACTAAGTTTCTCCACTCAATGTTTGCGGAAAGTTGCTGTCAGGTAATTGCTACTGATTTATTTACACTCAATCGTACATAACAGGAATTAAACACATTGCAAAATACTCTGGCAAGCTAATTACAAAAGGTCTTATCATGCTGCACATAAATTCCAAGTGACTGAGGCTGCAGGTTGAGGTTAGTTTTCAGACACACCAGTTCAGCCATCTGATTCACTGGAAGACTATGCAAGTACTTAAAGCAACCAAAGATACAGTGACAGGAAGAAGCAGCGACGACCTTCAGAGATAGAAATGTGTCTTATGCTGATAGCAGTGGCTGTGGTGGCATAAAGATGGGTAAAGTTTCCATTCACCTTGGGAAACCCAGGAGAGGAGAGCTCTGAAATTGTTATTTTTCAGTCCCTTATTCAAAAACATTTAAATATTTTTATTGATGCAATAAGCATTGATAGAATATTTTGTGGATCAACATTTTCATGTATTAACAGATGAAAAAGAAAAAAGTTTGTTTTCTAAATTTTGTGAGCCAACAGTGATGTCTGGGCAGGGGGACCATTCACTGCTTCCCAGGAATCATGCTTGGCACTTTTCCTTGGCATTTTTTTAAAGTGGAAGCACAAAACAGTAGAACTGCCTGGAGACTTGGACGGCACCAGGTGGAAGCCAGTGTCACACTGTGTAAACACGTGGATCCATTAGACAATTGTTGGAAGTGTGAATTCTAAGTTTGATCTAGTGATAAGACTCGTGCAGCTTGTAAAAAAAAAAAAAAAAAAAAAACATGCACTTGTGAAACCACACAGCAAGGAAAATATTTCAGGCTTATTGAATAAAAAAGGGCACAAAGTGAGCGATGATGCATTGGGTGCCCTGCAGCCTTCAGCCTCTGGAGGCTCCTGACAGACAGAACAAAGACCTGAGCTCTTGGCTCTCAGACTGTTAGCTCAGTTTATAAAATATACTCTAACCTGTAAGGATAAAGATGTTTTCTTACAGAAATAACCACAGTCACATAGGCAGAATAAGGAAGAAGCTTTTCTCTGGTGTAAGGCAACTTGTAACAATGATTTATTTACAACGTCCATGGCTTTGGTGCATGCTATTACGCTACCCAGTGAATCAGTTGAAATGAAGCCGAAGCCCTGTGGCATCGCAGCTGGGTTTGCCTGGGGAAGGGAGGGTGGTTACTGCTTTCCTTTGCTTTGTGCTGGCAACACAACACTTGGACAACTTCACGGTCCGAAAGACATGTGGAAATCAACTCCATTAGCTATATGGTTGCTCCTCTTTATCTTTCTGTGGTTCCTTTATTACAACATTGCAAAGTTATATATTCAGATTCAGGACTATATGATATATGATTTATATTTGACTATAAAATGAAGGCCTCATGAAAAAAAATTATACAATCCAAACGTAATGAAATACAATGAAATGTTATTTCGGTTATCTAAACATATTATGCTCACACTATATGTGCTATAAGTTTATTTCAAACTGACTAAACTGCCTTTTGGCACATGAAAGTTGATTACACCAAGTCAACAGTGGGTTCACCTCCCAACAAAGCTTCTGCAACCCACGTTTCAAGTCTGTCACTACAAAACTTATTATTCATTTCCATTGGTTTAAAGTTGCGCAAAGCAGCGTGTAGCTCAGCATTCCAGTCATGATTCATGGCCTAATTTCATCATTTCTGAAACACTGTTTACTACATAAAGGGAACTGTATTTCCCCAACAAAAACAAAAGGACCAGAATGCAAGAAAATCAAATCATTCCAGAGTGAGCTACTGAGTCACTGAGGAAGGCAGTGGGATGAATCCAGCCTAGGTCAGCAGTAGCAAAGCGCCTCTTTGGTGACTACTTCACTATGGCCAGAACCTCACTCCATCCACATCTAGGAGCTCTATATGCACCCAGCCGTGGGTGAACGCGGACCTCAGCACGGCACCTTGCCACGTGCATCAGTAAATCCCTGCGTGCACCTCATCAAGCTGATTCGCACCTAGGTGGCACATCACAAACACAATTTAGCTCTTGCAAATACAGGGCAATCCCATTCCCTCAGTTTGAGGCCTTGTAATAATAGCAGCTTGTGCTGCTTTCTGTTCTTCACCAAATTATAAAACTAAAATTGCAAGAAAAATATTGGTTACAGTGCTTATTTTTCTTGGGTCCTTAAATGTTAGCCACAATGTGTGAGAAATGAGGACAAAGAGTGGCCAAGCTGAACAGGGAAGCTCTGTAGTTCTGAATACATCCCATGCAGCAAACTGTAAGGACCATAACCATTAAACAATAATAATAAAGATACTGGAAAGTTTCTAACCTGTAGCAGTAAGAGAGATATTTCACAGGCTTTATTATCTGTTCTTAAAGTTATCTTGCTTTCCAAATGCTACAGTTCAATCATATATTATAATATTTAAACTTATCATCAAAATATTAAACATTCATTTTACAGCAAGAAAAATGGAAATTAGTGCTATACTTCATTCTTCTCCCTTAAACTCATTAAATCTGGATACTGAATTACTGCTTGCAAATTTTGGCTGACTGGATACATAATGCCTTTTTTAAATAATATAAATTTACTAAAAAATATATTTTTTTCCACAGTACGCGAAGGGGTAGATACATACTCAGTAATCAAAATGAATTAGTGAAACAGAGTATGCCAAACCACTACTTTCTACAATAACAGAGAGTAAACAGATCACAGTCCATGACAAATGCTTCATGCTGGGACTGTTAACATTTCTACATTTCAGTTTTAACCCACTCTGCAGGACATAACGTTCAACGTGGAGAGCGAAGTGGTGTGAGATTCTATTTTTATATCTGCATAGAACTGAGATTCAAGAATCTCTGTTGACCTCACAAATATAAATAAAACCGTCACACCACCGTGACACAGTGATTTTCCTATCAGCTTTTCAGCCAGAGTCATGAGGTCACTAAGCACAATGTCATGCAGCATTTCAGTACCAAACATAGCAAAGTGATGTTTTGGGTTTTCTAATCACTGAACTAAAACAGTGTGTATAAGATCTTTACAAATCATGGTACAGTGATAGATAAAAAAAAAAAACTGTGATCTGTATTTTTAATTTTTAATCAGAATTGATGATATTTTTGAATATTACCTTCATCCATCTATGAACAATCTTTTCACCTTTCACTTTTTTTATTCCCTGCAGTGGGTCAACCTTGGACTGACATCCTGCTGGGCTGCGCCTCCAGTAAGTACCGCTATAGCAGTATAGTGTAACTGTTCCTGTGTATGGTGTTTTCATCAGTCTACAACAATGAAAAGTAATTGTCAAAATTGCATCTCCTGGGCCCACTACTTACTCTTCTGTACATGTACTGGAAATGCGAGCAGATCCTCACTGCAGAATTAGTTCAAGTGATCCATATTTGCTCCTAGACGATCCTCCTTCTCCAAGGTCACAAATGAATCACGTAGGGAGCCTCATACCAAGAGGTATCCGAGTCCCTGCCTCTCCGGGATGTGGTACCCATAACACGTCGCGTGTGGCAGGTAGCTGCTCACCGTGGTCCCTTCACAGGTCAGGGAGCCAGGATTGGCCATCATGGCCAGCAAGGACACTGCCAGTACTGAGCAAGGCTCTGCTGACTTGGAAAATCACTCCATGAAGCGCCATGAACATGTTATTGTGCCCCTCTCCCTAGTGTTTAATTCCCGATTTAACATTCACATCACAATAATCCACCGCCTGCCATTTACTTTTATAAAGTAGAGTCGAGTATCAATTGGTAACACTTTCTAAAACTTCCTTCCAACTATTGCAAAAGAGGAGCTGAAAGTTTATGGAGTAGTTATTTTTTATGTCCGTTTACCATAGGGCCTCTCCAGCCACAAGCTTACAGCCGGAGGCCCCACGGCATTTTTGGGAATGGAAACTTTTTGAGTTCAGCTCTTAAGAAATTCCCAGCCTGCAGTATGTTTTTCATTAGTCTACATGGTGTTATAATAAATGATGCACTTCCTCTTTCATTTTAGGATTTTTTTAAAAAACATGCAACCATTTTTCTGTGTCTGTTTTCTATTACTTTCAATATTTTGAACCACGCGGATCTTTGAGTCTACTTTGTGTACAGAGGCATAAAGGATATATTTAATAAGATGTCAACTATAAAAAGACAAGTCTTTAATTTGTCCACTGAGGGCCACATTACACATTCCATGCATGCAGCTCTAAGGACAGCCGTCTTTTTAGGGGTACCACTATTAAATAAGTCTGAGACCCCCAAAACCTCAAGTTGGCCTAAAGAGAAGTCTCCTCTAAGGTACACACCTGCAGGACACTCTACTAAAAAAACATTTGATCTCATGGCCCAGGTGCGCATGTAACTCATGAAAACTTCTCTGGACGCCCACACATCTGAATTTATACAAGTCTTTTTTGCATGGAGACCAACCTGCATAAGAATTTTAGTGACAACAGCACGTAAAATGGCAAGAAAGAGAATATGAGAACTCTTTGGGTTAACAAAGTGTTGTCAGGTATTACATTAAGCTGTCTTAAGGTTTTAGCTGTTTTTCTTCTTTCACATATTGACTCTCTGGCACCAAAATCCAGTGTAAGCAATAACCTTAAATATAAATTAACTTAGTAAATGCAGCCAATGCTGAAGTTCACCTGTTTTGCATCCAACAAATTCACCAGCTTCTAAAATCTTGGCTGCAAGTTCAAATTTAGGCCATTTATCAAAATTAGGTATTTTGATAGATTTTTAAGAGCCAGAACATTCCTTATAGCACTTCTTGATGCAAGTTTCCCTCATATTGAAGAGCAGACAGAAGTGGCAATGGAAAAAGTGCAGCAAGGAACATGCCCACTACTCTCCAGGAAAATGAGAGGACTGATAAATACCCTAGCAGTGAGAGAGAGGACAAACTCCCTTGGAACAACTGACTCTGTTTTTAGATTAGGGAAGATCTCTGTTTTAGATTAGGATTTCTGTTAGGGAAGACCTAATAGAAACTTCCCATTACCTACAGGGAGGTTATTGGGAGGACAGATCCTGACTCTTGACAGTGCAGCGTCTTGTCACTCCACCAGCTGACAAAAAATGGCAAGAATTAAACTGTAACCTAGTCATGTTCTAACTGATTACAAATATTTTTTTTCTTTTTAACATTTGCACAAACATTGGGCAGGTTACCCACAAAGGTGACACAGTCTTCACCCTCAAAAGTTTTCCAGATCTGATCTAATCTCAGAGCTGACCCTACTCTGAGCATGACTTTGGAGAAATTACCTCCTCCAGTCACCTTACAATTTGAATTAATGAGCTATGATTAATTTGGTCTTGTCAAAAATAGTTAAGATGTTAAATAACAGAAAACATTCAGAATTTATTCCGACTACTGTTTTGATTTTTCTGCTACCTATTATAATCATAGACATATTCATTTGCTAATATTGTGGGGAAATAAAATTTAACATAATCATAGAAGAACAGCTGTGGACAGCATAAAACCACAAACTCTCATTTTTTTATTTCAAATCTTAATTGAAATCTACTGTTGGCGACAGTTCTTTTAAACAAGGTTGAGACAGCAGAAAAGAGGGTATGTAAAGATTTACCTTAATGAGTTTGGACATGCATTGTCAACAGCTACCAGTGAAGTACCTGTGTCACAGTCTGAAGAGCAAGCTGATCTATGACCTCAGCTTTTCTCCCCTGAATGCAACCCCTAGAGATGCAAGGTTCAATCTTTCCCAGAGAAAAATACCACAATTCTCTGACTGTCATATCAGAGTTGTTGTATCTCTACATTATTTGGCCCCAACAAGGACAGATGCAATCCCGTCTTTCAGAGGTTTATAAACAGAAGATTACAATGACCCAAACAAAATGCAAAATATTTTACAACTATCAATAGAAACAAATGATAGCACAAGAGGAGAAAGAACCCTTAACCTTTGAGTATTTGGGTCTTCATCCTAAGAACACACAACTACTCACGTTTAAATCAAGCCAAGGTTCTTTGCACAGTCTTGTTCCTCTCACCCAAAACTTGTTTGGTGAGCTCTGGAGGAGGTCAAAGGCAAATCAAAACAAATGATTTTTACATTGTATTCCCAAACATTAGCTCTGAAATACTTTTCAGGAAACACTTACCTCCTTCCTGGGTGTATTTCCACATGTTTTTGCAATTAGTTTAATTCAGCAAATACCTAACATGCATGTACATTACAGTAGTTCATTTAAGATACATAAGTTGAGTATGTCCAAAGGGTTACACACGTTTGAGGCTGTGTAAGCCGGGCTCACAGACCATCCCTGGGGTTCCTTGACGTTCCTCTGTACCACCCCGGTACACGCGGCACCTTCCATCTCTCTTCCATCCTCTTCCATTCCAAGAGAATATGAACTAACATTAACAAACATTAACTAAACTAAGAAAAATCCTTAGATTTAATTCTTGCTAACTCAGCAAAATCCACACAGTTGTGAAGAATACAGGAAAGAATCTCTTTCTATGGGGCATGTTCATCTTGAAACACAACCAGTATCCCTCTGCAAATCCTTCCAAATGGCCCTTCCAAATCACACACATATTCAGAGTCCTGTTTTGAGGAAAAGGTATCTCCCACTAACAGAAGAGAATTTAATTGGAGTTTTACACTGTCCTTTATGAAGTGAGAGGAAAGAGAAGGCTAAAAGCTGCCGTTAGCGGTACAGATCGATGGCCAAATTGGCAGCAAAAAATATAGATTACCAGTAAATACAGTTTTCAGTACCAACTATTTGACTCTGCTGAAGCATTTTAAATTAAAGAACTGGTAAAAATACATGAGAGTTTTTGTATTTACATTGATTCGAAATAATAATATGTTAGGCAGTACCACTGCTTAATGGCAGACCATTAATCACAAAAGGGAGGAGCAATTCTCCATTTCATGTTCAACTACATTTGCCTATTTTAAGCATGTTATAAATATAGTTGATATATACACAGTTTTTAGCCTAATCTTCTTTTATCTTTTCCTCTTATATATGACTTTTAATAAGAATGTGTTCCCAGAGGCTGACAGCATCAAGAAAACTAGGCTATGCCAACAAAAAGGGATTCCAGGCAAACATCATAACGTCTAGCGCACCGTATTTCATTTACAAATCTTTGATTTTTAAATGAACGGCAGTTCAAAGTACACATTAAACACAGATACTTTCTGCTTATGTATGTGGAGATTCTTAGAGATTAAGTCACTTTTAATTAAAGACTTAAGCAGGTGTCGTTTTGTGATACTCTTTGAATTTGGTTTAAACAGATACATGCTCTTATGATGCACTTTAAATACAAAATCAAATCAAAAAGATCTTTCTAAACGAGGCAAAGGAAAGCTGTCTGATGGTTTGAAGTTTGGTTCTGCTCATCTGTCATGTATGGAATATCATATATTTAGTTGGAAAACATATTCTAAAGCACTTCAAAAATAAACAAAAGCACTGCTAACAGTTCTGGGAAGAGTGACCCCAGGCCACACAACATCTAGTAATTTCCGCAGTTAGTTCTGCCTCTACCTATCCAGGGTCTGTTTGCAATATTAATGCATAAAACAGATTATTTAAAAAGCATTCTAGATTCAAACAACCAGAGCAATACATATGGAAATAGCATTATTTATAACAATTTTTTTCTCTCAACACTGTGCTTTACAATTTTAGCTATATGAAGAATATTCTCTTTCTCTATTTTTTTTTCTATTTTAAAGGAAATACTGAGATTAATTTAAAGTCACCTGATCAAAATACCATAGTATTTTGCTGTGATAGATACTGAATTCAAGTGAAATGATTTCCCAAATTATCCTGGATACTTCTTATTTCAAAGTGTAAAATACTCACTCTTATCCGTTACACAACATCTGACAATATTTGCTGCTGTAGACTAGATGCACTGACTTTTAATACTTACCGAGGCAATGATAATAAAGCATTGTAAACGATGGCACAAGTGACATTTTAGAATTTCATGCTTACTACAGGTAAGAAAGAACAAAAAAATGGTAGAAAGCAAGAGCTGTTCTACTGCTTCAGCAATAAGGTCTACATCTGGAGCAACCACAATGACTTCAGTGTCAAAGTTGCAACCAAGAGCTGCAATTAGCCCCAGAATTTTTAATCAGTTACTTGTCTGAAGACTGTGTGTGAGGAATATCATTTAGCCACAAAGAGATTAAAATTAATAAGATTAAGACTA